TCCGTTTATACAAAACTGAGAACCCTTTGGCCAATGATGCTCCTGACCAAATTTGGTCAAAATCCTCTGAGCCATTCAGGACAAGTAGCATTTTAAAGGAAAAAGTTGACGGACGCCGGACGCCGGACGCTGCACCATGGGATAAGCTCACTTGGCCCTTCGGGCCAGGTGAGCTAAAAAAAGTAGAGTGTTTCCATTGGGGATCGAACCAGTGACCCCCATCTACTCAGTCTGCTGCTCTACCAATTGAGTTAAAAGGAAAACTCTTCTAGTGCGAAACTAGAAGACGACTTTTATGGCATGTGGTTCATATATTCAAAGGTTGGAATAGTTCATTATGAAATTTCAGGGGTGAATTAGTTAATTCTCCATTCTGAAAAAAATATATTCTGTTCTCATGAAACCATTAACAATTTCATATTTTTTCTGTAGTTTCTCCTCTTTTTTTTCCTGCAACTCTTCACTTAGGTAATAAAGTACTTGTAGAAACCTTTCCATGTTTGAATAGATGAAATCAAACTAGCACAAAGGGAATTGTAAAGAGAGAGAGCAAGGTTACACAGTCAAACGCACGGGTATCAATATCTAACTTACTGTTTCATTTTTCTGCCCAAACCCATAAAACACCTTTTTATGTCTCCTTTAGCAGCCCACACAGAAACCTTACGATATTGATTGTGATTCACATGTCTGCGTATAAAGAGTGTTCATGCTCAGACACATTACAAGGGTAAGCAAACGCAAACAGAAACACGCAATTTCGAAGCACTATCATAGATAATACCTTTTTTTTCAGATGTCATGTGTAGAGATTATTGTGAATGTACAGTCAGTTGTAGATATATTCCTTTTAAACATTTAAATATGGATTTAAATGAAATAATAAATCAAATCTGACGTCAATGTAGACAAATTGGTTTCTGATAGCAAACATGAAGCACAGTTCCTTCTTTAGTCGGTGAACGCTAAAAACCTCCACCTCGCTTGTATATGAAAGGTTTCCTTTCTCTTTTTGTTTTAACACTTCCCACTGTGTAACACAGTAAAACCTCTATAAAAATCTCCGTAGGAGGTATTATTTGCCATCTTAATAAGGCAACAAGCCTGCATCTCCCCTGTTTAGGACAATTACCGGTACCATAATTCCCCTCACTCTGGATAATTAATATCTTCTTACCTTCACCCTGAGCGTCGAAGGAATCTTTGCGACTGGAATTAGCGGCTCCCATCGCGGCTGCTAGAGGATCCAAGTTTAATGAGAGATCAGGATCAGTGCTATGAGGAAGAGGAAGCTGATATAAAGGATCCTATAGGCTGGGATGAACTTCCACCCCAGGGCTGGGTGGGGCCGTAGTCATGGTCTCCAGCACATTGGCACCGTCAAATCTGAAACATACAACAACAGCAGTGAAGTAAATTTTCGAAATGGGAAAAAATGTATGAGCATTATGTTCATTAATCCTATGTCTGGGCCTTCTGTATGTGTGGTAGCCAAATCTAGTAACACAACATTGACAATATGCAAAATGCACATTGTTTACACTTGTAGCGGAACTCAGGACTGGGGCGATCGTCGGCGACCAAGTAGCTCAATTTGTAGAGCGTCTGTCTAGAGTTCTGCTTAGAGTTTGGAGGGTCTGGGGTTGGAATCCCAGTCTGGCCATGCATTTTTCCGTTTCCTGTGATTGTGACCTGAACCTTTGTCTCAGGCATTGGGTGTATACTTAGCAAGGGAATACCTAGTTCTCTGGGTTGTAAATAGTGATGTCTTTGGGGGCAAATTAAGACTTAAAACAAGAGGCCCAATGGGCCTGCATCACTCACCTGGTATTACTCTCACACTTGTAACCTTAAAAGGGATCTAAAGTAAAGCTATAGGCAAAATATCAGTGCTTATGGCTATAAATCATTCAAACGAACCTATTAAAAGATGTTAAAACATTTGACTCCTGTGAACTTGAAAGTCGAACATTAGGTCGTTACAATGAACAAACTTTACAGCCCTTCATCTCAGGATGCAACTTGCCAAATATCACTACCCTCGACCTTTTCTTTATTGAGATTAGATCATTGATTTAAAGGTTTATACATATTTGACCAAATGTGACCTTGAAAGTGGGTCAAGGTCATTCAAATGAACGAACACTGGCCAATTAACATCCTGGGCCTCATGGTTATTGTTTAATCAGAAGAAGTCGTTTGAAGATTTTAAACAAATTTGACCCCTGTGACCTTGAATATAATTCAAGGTCATTCATTTGAACAAACATAGTAGCCCTTCATCCAAGCATGCTACTGGCCATATATCATTATCCTGCGCCTTCTGGTTTTTCAGATTTAAAGATTTTGAACATATTTGATCCCTGTGATCTTGAATAAAGGTCAAAGTCATGCATTTTTGCAAACTTGGTAGCCCTTTATCCTACTATATATCAACATCATCGGCCTTCTGCTTTTTCAGAAGTTGTTAAAATATTTAACATATCTGACCCCTGTGACCTTGAAAATGGGTAAAGGTCATTCATTTGAGCAAACTCGGTAGCCCTTTATACAAGCATGCTACTGGCCAAATATCAACACCCTAGGCCTTCTGGTTAATCAGAAGAAGTGATTTAAAGATTTTAAACATATTTGACCCATGTGACCTTGAAAATGGGCAAAGGTCATTCATTTTATCAAACTTCGGAGCCCTCTATCCAAGCATGCTTCTGGCCATATATCATCTTCCTCAGCGTTTTGGTTATTTAGAAGAAGTCGTTTAAATGTTTTAAACATATTTGATCCCTACGACCTTGAATTTATGTCAAGGACATTCATTTGAACAAACTAATAAATAATACAATACTAACACACACACACACACACACACACACACACACCCTGCCAAGGGCAGTATTTTAACTCATTCACCCTTGAAATGCCATAATAATGAACTATTCCAACCTTTGAATTGTAAGAGTTCAATTGTGTCTTCACGGGTGAATGCAGTTGAATCTTGCCCTCACAACAATGTCTTAGATAAAGATTTGCACTGCTCTTGTTTGCAACACAAACAAAAGTATCATGGCTACAGACCTGATGGTTCATTCAATTAGATAATGTAATCATTTAATGTTAATGTTAATGTTGGCAGTTTTCAATATATTTCATCCCTATAACCTTGAAAGTAGGTCAAGGTCATTTACACCAGGAAACATTTTAGCACTCCATCCTTGGTATAGCTACTGGCCTAATATCATCATCCGAGGTCTTAAAGTTCTTAAGAAGAAGTCATTCAAAAAAAAAGACATTGTACTTTGTGGAAACTGAACCATACCACCATCTGACACAGCTACTTTGTACTAGGTAAATTAATATTTAAAGATGTCAAGATTATATCACTTGAAAATATCTGTACATTGATGTCTGCAAAGCAACAAAAGGGAACTATTTCAGCCATTTATATCAGTGACCTTTCGAGAAAGCGAAATTTTGTAGTAGATTACTGCACGGATGGCACATAACAAGTAAGGTTCCACAGTAACAGGTGGATTCAGCTGATCAATACTCAGCTTATCGGCCTCTCAAATAACACACATGGGAGCTAGTACATGTTCAAAATTATTTATTCATTCGACCATCAATGCATCTAGCAGAAGTTACTTTATGGTCATATTCATGCACACTATTATAGCCTTATCAACATTGAATTTCAAAATTTGAGTGAATTTTAGCATCCAATATTCATAAGCTTCAGCACACATCCTGATCATTGTAGGCAGTGTCTCGCTTCACGGTATTGTCTATCAGTGACGCCCTATGATTTAAAGAGCTAAAAGACCCAGATTTCTTTAGGAGATATGACATTTGATCGTGGGTGCATGTGAGTGTATAAACTTTGGCATTATAAACCAAGCCAGCAAAGATTTTCTGTTGGATTTTTGTGAAATGTTACTCTAGTTCACTTCCTGATAATGTGGAGGAAAGGTTGAAATTTTGCAGCTAGCACCTTGACATGAAAAAAAAAAAAATGCTTGTAATATCAGTTTGATGTGTCCTTGCAGTGACAATGTATGACAATTTTGTGTCATCAATCTCCATTCTTTTGGAGTTCCTGTGAGCAGAAATGTAATCAAAACATCAATGATGTTAGAATTTATGCACAAGATGTAAAGAAGTATTATTAATCACTGTCATATCAGATGGATTCAAAATTGCTGTGCTATGAATTATGCGTTAATTTTGATCCCATCAGGTATTAAAATGTTCCTCAATTTATCTGGTTTTGCAAATATCTTGATAATTAAATGATAATTGATATTTCAAGAGTTGCTTCCATCTTAAATTCTTGGAAATACTGGACAGACACATTTTCATTTTTTTGAAATGCTCCCCAGGGAGTTGAGAAAGACATTGGCTGTTTGCAAAGGCCCTATAATATAACCAAGGATAATAATTTGTGAAACCGCTTTGAGACTACCTACGAACTAGGTTGTGATAAAGCGGTTTATAAGAACCTCAAATTATTATTACTATTATTATTATAGGACCAGGAAATTTGGTCTACCCTTTGGGTGCTAGACAACCAACATTCTTTATGTAACGGTACCACAACAATGTGACGTCATGACGCCAACAACTGTTAACAATATCACAGAATAAAGTAGGGTAACAGAGCCAACGTCAGGTGTAGGTTTGTGGGTTGATCAGTGGGGGCGCTTCGCTTTGAGTACGGATGCCAAAGGGTATATTGAGGCCGACTACAGAATAAGGCACATATAAAGAACACAACATACTCAAGCGTCACCAATAAGTGGGTTTTAAAGTTTATTTGAATAAACAATAAAAAAGATGTAAAAATCACTGTTTTCCCAGGTTTATTGGAAATCTGCCCCTTTTTTAAAGAATATTGGTAAAAAAAAAAAAAAAAGGTGTAAAACATAATAATGAAACCTTAACACAGTCCAAGAAATGCAGAATCGTCCATCAGCGAGCATTACTCAGATGTGTGCTTTTATCTACATATAGGCAAACAAAGGTGACCGCAGACTTTAATTATAAGATAGCACTAAATTCACTTTCATTCACTGAAGACTTTGAGCTGTATACAGTTGAATTGTCTTGTACAGATGAAAGATGAGTCATCGCAGATTTAACTTTATGAAAAAAAGTCAAAAATACCTGTTGTCTAATAGACTTAAAAGTCTCATATTGCTTTTGTGTGCATTTTTTTAGTTTTACCATGCAATCATAGAGTTGGCTAGCCCATTTCCCGAAAGGTCTTTTATCTTCAGACGAATCTTACAGAAAGCTCTGTATATATATATATATATATATATATATATCTCCTGGGACTTTCTCTATGCCCTTCGTGCATACTGCAATTGCGTTTCACTTACCATTAAACACTTCCCTATCATATGCTGTTAGTCGAGTCACATTTCCAACAACCATGCATGCACTGTCTGACACCAACTTACATTTGCTGATAATACATGTAATAACTTTAGTACACTTAGTTCACTTTTTCTAAAAATATCCACGTGTATGAAACTTTTTGTCAACATGTGTACATTATCTGATTATAGACACAACACAGCGATATACCCTTGAGGTTTTGAATAAGAGTTGCCAAAAAATTATCAACATTATAGAGGAACCATCACAAATTACAACACACCATTGTCACAAACATGTTTTGAACCCATCCACTAGCCTTGCCAAGTTTTCTTCCTAAAACATACATTTTTTAAAAGAAAACTTTGTGCTTGTGACAAGATTGTTAAGGATCCCTGTCCATCGATCTGTACTGTGTTTTTTCCTATGTACAGTTACCTCCCTTTAACTCATTCACTCCTGAAGTTTCATAATGAACTATCCCAACCCTAGAATTAGAAGAGTCCAAATGTGTCTTCAGGGGTGAATGAGTTAACTTCCATTTGGATATGTTAAAACTATAGCACAATTGGGATATGATACTTCGGCAGACCAAGTAGTTCAATCTAGGTTCCAACCCCTAGCTCACATGAGAAACCCACATAAGAAATCTGACTTTTATGGGATCACTTGTTCTGAAGTAAGGATCCGCACAAGAAAAGTCTGCTTTAAGCAACATGATTGTGACCTTTAACCTTTGACGGACAACTAATAAAATTTATAGGATTCTTATTACGATCTGAAAATTATTTGTCCTTTCCTTTAAGCCTGTGGGCAGGCTACTATGGGATATTGATTTGTTGTTGATTTCTTAAATATAGATCTTTTCATCTTTTACACAATCGGGCTTCATGGATGTAACTAAAACAAGAGGCCCATGGGCCTTAGCGGTCACCTGATATATTTATACAGAGATTGATTTTTGTTTTTAACATGAACAGAAATATTATTCAAAGTGACAAAAAACAATA